ATTTCTTATCACGCGGTTAACAAGAACTGAAACACTTTTTATGCATTCATTTTAATAATACACATTCTACCTTGTTTCTTTGATAAATATCGAGGTTTCATGTCTGTATTTTTTGGTAATGATAATTTTTTGAGATTTATTGCATACTAATATCTGATTTTTATATCTAACATAACGTGAAGCAGTATAATTAAGTTGTATGCATCATTTAAAATCAATGTTCCAACATTCTTATTCATAACTCAGAATTAAACTTTTATTATTCATAGTTTGCATTACGGATTGATCCTAGTTAGATGACTGTTGAAACTCAAGAACCGCCGGATAGTTATTTCATCCTAGTATGAGGTGCCTTAGCAGTACGCACTCGTGTCAGACCAGTATGTGCTGTAAATCATAGAGATTCGACAATCTTCATAAACCCTTTTTGACAAAATATACTGTTTTCTTATAAACGTTGTCTCATAAATGTATTTTTATCTTTCCCATAATGTTTACCAGGTGCTGCAGTTTATGGTCAAATTTATTAAATACCATTTAGCATTAAATATGCACAGGAAATGTAGTGTCATTATCATGGAGGGTACCACGTCTACATTGTTTATATTACCTAACAATACTTTATGACACACCGATAAAATCGGAAACAAAATTTAAAAACCTATAACCGTTTTGATTTAAACACCACTACCATCATCACAGCCATGACAAATAAGCATGTGTTTAAATAATATTTTCTTTTTCCATAAATCGAATTTGCATTTCTAATATCCTTAAAATTACGAAAGGCATTGAAAGTGATTCAAAAACCTTAAAGTTGTTACGTTTAACACCGATGTCATTTACTGCAGTAAAATTTAATGTAACTTATATATTAAGTACATGTTTATTCACTCGGAGACGTTGGTTGTGTAAAGGTTAATAATATTACCCGTCTGATGAAATTGAATTAAGTCTTGTGAATGTTCGAAAATGAGACCTAGTGGTTGAGACTCGAATATTTTAACCATGAAGTTACCAGTCCACCGTATAGAAAGTGCATCTCGTAGTAAATAACGTAGATTACCAATAGAATTGTGTGTACTGATCATGTTATTCAGGTCACAGACTAACTCAGAATAAATTTATTGATCACATGAATACTAGTATCTTCTTTGATTTCGGTTTACCAATTTTAGAACGATTTACGTATAACTTAATTTATCTTTATTATTTATGCATGTACTGTTCAATAACAATATTTAACTACTTAGTTCTAATAAAAGAACGGTTTAATGTAAGATTTTCAAGATTCAGCGTAATGCTTCATATCACACTGTGTCTACGAGCCTATCTTTACTGGCACATGAATAAAGTTGTATTTGCTATTATGATAGTTGGTTTTCTTCCATAGAACTCATGCACTATGATACAAAGGTTGTGTAAACTATTACTAATTAACCATTTTGTTATTTGTCAGTTGAATCTTTTTTTCGAAACTCAATTAATTAATTCTATCATGTTTTTTTCCCACTGTAAACCATTCATTAATCAAGACATAATTAACTATTGAAAAATTTAAACAAATTCTTCCAAACCTAATTTTCACGGAAAACCGATGCAGCATTGATATGAATGTATACAGAAGAAAAAACCCACATTTTTTTTACCAATAAGACTGTACCACTTCTCGAATACTGTAAAAATAAAAATTTTTATACCCATAGTTTACTTTCTTTATAAGAGTTTACGATGGATCAGTAAACATGTTCAGTCTTTGAATAGAATGACATGCTTATTAAAGTGAACTTAATTCATTTTCTTTCAAAAAACAGGAAACAATCAAACAACTATGTAGGTTACATTTATCCTTTTGTTCATTAAAACTCTTTACGTGTAGCTGTTAGACAAGTAAATCTTTTATTTATATATTTAACTCTTTTATATTGACTAATAAAATACGCAATAGTGCAATCAAACAATTAGTTTTCAGTTTGAGGTTCTGGAGATTATTGAATTTCATTGAAATAATGAGCCGATCGATGTTAAATCACCATTGAAAACCTGGAAGCACTGGATCACCTTTTCATCCTAGTTTGGGACTCCTCAGCTGTGAACATCCCACACCAGGACTAGATGGCAATCCTAGGTTTTCAATTGTGATCTAACATTGGTCTGTTCAGAATTTCATTGATATTATTTTCATTTTTTTCAAACTGATATATCAAGCTGTTCATTTTAATGACAGAAACAATAATATTTAATTGGGTGATTTGTAAAGAACGTTTTCCAGTTTAAAGAAAAGCTTTTGTTACCATAATTTAACTGATAAAAACAAAAAAATATTTCACAAATTATGCCCCCCCCTAGGATCCCACATGAGAAAAAATGTAGAATATTCAAATCTTACATGATTAGCATAATATCATTCAGTCAATATCCCATGTTTCCTGTAATTAAATAGACTGGAAACCAATCAAGAAGTACCAGTGTGGAGAATAAGTTAAGGAAGTAAAAAAAGCTTTTAACTAAATAAAATATTATTAAATTTAAGGTCATAAATTACAAGTTCATATACAGACAAAAATAAACAATGAAAATAACTATAATAAAAGAAACATTAGGTCATATTTGTGTCAATAACTTTGATAAATAAACGCTATCAATCTCTCTCTCTCTCTCTCTCTATATATATATATATATATATATATATATATATATATATATATATATATATATATATATGTTGAATAGCTGAATGGAAAATGAGTATTAAATAACTGACATGCTATTCATAAAGCAATAATTATTTCTAATATAAGTGAAAATGATTAAAATATTAGAAAATACAGAATGGATCGAAATTACGTGACAGAATCGATTATCGATCATGTTCTTTCCTTTCAAGACAAAAACAATAAACAACAAGGATAACTTATGAAGTTTTAAACTCGTTTTCTATGAAAAAAAAACGTAACCGACTTCAATTCAGGTGTAATTTGAAAGTTGTCACAATTTTAGTCTTTAAGTAAGTAAAAATATTAATAAACGAACTGTTACAGAACAACTAACTAAAGGTGAAATATGTTATTTTTATGGAAAATAGTCGGGCACTAATGTATAGTGTAATAGATAAAAAGACAATTACTTATTTACTTACGTTTGTTACCCCTCGTGAGAAGCATGGGCTGCTCACCAAAATTCTCCATTGGACTTTGTCCTGGGAAATAGACAAATAATAACTGATCAAAAATGGTAATCATGGTCATGTGATAAAAGATTATTTTGTTCTTGTATACATTTTATTGTGGTTTGTGTTACTTATATTGACATAAGTAGTATAATCAGGGAAGGGTTTTTGTGGATATTATATTAATTTAATGGTTGGACTCATGAGTCAATTGAAGCTAGACTACCATCGAAAACCTGGAAGCACTGGACGGTCGTTTTGTCCTAGTATGGGACTCCTCAGCAGTGCGCATCCACGATCCCGCCTTGCGAGTTTCTAACCCAGAACCTATCAGTCTCGCGCTCAAGCGCTCAACCACTAGACCACTGATCCGGTATGTAACGGTGTTAACGTCCTAATGCTATTCAGGAATAGAATGTCCGGTAGCAGACGGTTGAGAAGATAGCGAAGGAAAGAACGGAAACAGAATGCGATCGGTATGGAAATGAAGGACAGTGAGGTCTGAGACGATGGATTGACATTTGAAAAGGAACAATGAAGTTTGAGACGATTTATGGATATTTTGCAAACTAAGTATTTACTGGATGATCCTCAGATTTTACTAAGAGATTCTGTAATCTTGTATTCATACACATTCTATTGTCCCCACTTGTGTTCTCGTTTACTACGATATCAATAATCGGCAAACTATCCTAACACAACTACTGATTTCAAATTATAGTATAAAACGTACCCCATAAAAAAAATGAATGTAGAGTATCAACTGCTCTTATATGTAGCCACTGATTAAAATAAAGACTATCGTTTACACATCTATTTTATTATTTATGTAATGTTTTCTAAAGTCCTTGAAAAGTGAAATAAATTCATCATATTATAATACTGTTTGTCTACAGCCAATTTATGTAAATATATACCTCAAGATGTATCTCTAACAACAAGTTGATCTAATAGGATTCATCGAGTATTGAAAAATATCTCACCATAACATCGATTACTCTTTAATCAGATGAGATAATATTTACTAAAAAAAAACTATTTGATTTTGTTTACATTGTAAAATGAATGATGTAATCAACCAAATAAATCATTTACCAGTTGAGCTACTATACAATAACTTCATTTTATCCACACGTTTTCTATTGTTTTAAAAAAAAATTATTACTGTCAATCCAAATCTATTTTAATTTTGTTTGCAAGCTAATAAAATTACAATTAACTAACTGTTATGACGAAATGAATATTAGAACAGTTGAAAGTTTCACGATTATTTTCCGGACTATTATTTTGTTTTTGTAGATAACTGTATTGTTGCATTTCTATATTCCCCTTATGTTAAGTTTACAATAGACCGATTACCGATTGTTATGAGTTTTAGTGTTTCTTAATTATTGCTAATTAATTATATACTGTTGTTTTCTTCTCTATCATTTATATGATTATGTGTTAAAGTATGATTTATTATTTAGCGTGCTGTGTGGTTAAGCATTTTATATATATTATTGCATGCATTTTGAGCCATGGTCAAATTTGGTGTAATAGAAACTAGCTTTTGACTCCTCTTTGAACTCAACATAAAAGACAGATAAAGGTTTGAGTATTGTAGACAAATAGGAGCATAACTTATGTCTGTTCAAGGCTAACGGTACAGGTCAGACGTGTAATCGGTCAAGTCTAGGACACTAGGATAGAAAAGAAATAGTAGCTTCAGTATAGATAAAAGTTATAACTAGAATTTGATTAGTGACTTTAACAATCTGATATTGATCATTGTAATTAAGCTATAATGCTAACTGTTCTTTTTTTTCATGGTATATTACTAATCATTTAGCCGGAAAATCTACTCTACTTTAGTCCAGCTGATGATAGTAAAATAATGGTGAGTGATTTTGGCTTGTCAAAAATAGAAAACAATGAGTCCATCATGGCTACAGCCTGTGGTACACCAGGTTATGTTGGTAAGTTGATTCATTTCAGAAAACTTTGAATATAATATTTATCTTTTGATGTATTTATAATTATGCTTGTATTGTGCTTATTGAATTTAAATGATACAGTTAATGGTATCTTCTTGATTGGATATACATTTATTGTTTTTTTGCTTGCTTTACTCACAGAAAAATATATTGCCAATTTGTTTGAACCAGTTTCTTAAACATCTCATCTAGTAAATCCAACCAACATCATATTAATGTCGCTTGAAAGTGTTTCTTTTCTGATTATGCCAATTATAATTAAACTACAATGTTAATTTGTATATATCTTTCATGTTCCGTCGATTTGGAAAATACAATTCAGTCGTTAAAAACAAATCATAGTTTGAGGACATAATTTATATTGTGCAGTAATGTTTATTGGTAAACTATGTACTATAATCAGTAGCTGTTCCTAAGGTGCCCGCACACACTTTAAAAAAATTAAAACTCAATAGACCTACACTATTCAGTTCTGTACTTAAGTTTTTTTAATGTTTAGTGTTACAGTGTACTATATTTCTACTCAGCTAACTTAAACTAGTAAAGTTCTTTATCTAAGACAAGAACGTGTGGTGTTGTTAATAACTTCGTGTTGTTGTTTGACAAGGTATTCATCATCATTAGTCTACTTGTAAAATGCACGAAGATAATGAAAAAAGGTTGATTTTATAAATTATATTTGTTAGACTTTTGTTGGATGATAAAGTTTTAAGGCGCAAAACGTCCTTAAATGCCCTGATAGGGCCGAGGTTGAGGAGAGTCAGCTCTCCCTCACGAAACGCTCTCACATGGCCACACGTATACAACCACTGACAGAGAAGTCCTACTCACTGCCTTCTGGTGGCATTAATGTTGTTTTCGAAATTGTGAGAACGATGAGCGAATGTTGCTCCACTGCCTTGTGGATCAGACCTTTAAGTCTAAGGCTCTGAGTGTGGCCCCATAAAAAACCAAATTGTTCGGTTTGAGCACTCGAGCAGTAGCACGGCCCACACACAAATCGAGTGACTTGTGTGGTGTATATGTATTCGGTGCCTCTTTGTACTAATATTTATGTGTTCAAATAAATAAACAACTGCGTAAAACCCACTTTAAGCTATTGTTTCGGATGAAGCGGTAAACAATTCTACCATTTTTAATACTTAAATAACAGATTTAGTTATTTATGAATTCAAGTATAGTTTTCTATTTTTCTGTATTCACAAAACTACTTAATTTAATATTCACCCACTTCATTCACTCGGCTATTTTTATTGATATTCCAGATTTTATTTGTAGAGTAAGCTGTTGTTCTAATTCTCAGATTCAAGTGCTTTGTTCTAGTTAACTGTTCTTAAAGTTTTTTTGTGAGATTTCATTTCTTCATTTCTTTTGCGGGGTAATAATGGTTTCCCCGTAAAGTAATTAGCTAGTTTCATCATCTCGTTCGCCTGATTATTTACCACATTATATATATATATATATATATATATATATATATATATATATAACTTTCACGTGACTAAGTCACAAGTAGAACATAACTTATGCAATCTTAGCACTGTGCCAAATCATAGACATGTTGATCTGTAAGATCAGCCTAGTGTCCTTATTGGTCCTTGTCGTCTAGCCCTGCCTGTTGAATCCAGAACGCAGATGTATGAATAATACTGCACGAATAATGCATTTCAGACATACTCGGTTTATTTACAGACAAACCAGACCGCATCATCCCATAAAATACAAAATAACAATTATACAAGATCAAGCCAAAAAGTGGCTGTAATTTTGCGAGACTGTTACTAATAAATTGGGAATATCTTAAGAATAGTAAATCGTGTAATAATAGTCAATAGGTCAGATTTAAGCTCATAATAAAAGGAATATGAACATGCATATAATGTGATTACTTATCGGTTATACAATAAGAATATATTTAATAGTAGTCCACAAAAGATCCTAGCGGTTACTATTCAGTTATTCTTGGTCCGGACATAGCAACCGGAAAATCCCACGATTCTGTTCACTTCCTTATATTCAGTCTAGTGTGGTGTATGCTACTTATGGTATCAAGTATAAGTAACTATCCATAACAATGATAATAATATTGACAAGAAATCGAAAATTTCTAATTCTGCTCTGTCAATATACAAAGATTAGAAATAATATAAACATTATCTTCCAAGTCAGCTGTAATTTACAATCTCACTGATTATAAGTAACTACTTCATACGTCATACTGTATTCTAACGACGCAAAGAGCTATCTATCGAGAAAGTTAAATTATATTTCATTAGATTCCTTTTAAGCAGAACGTGTACGATTTCACAGTTATTCCTACCGATAAACTTAATATTTCACTATTTTATTTACATCATCATTATCACTTTATTTTCCATGTTTCCTGATTCCTTCAAGTCATTGTTTAGTTTTTACTGAGTGTAAATTAAAAGTTAATCCGATTATTTCCACCTTCAATCATACTTTATTACGGTCGTCTATTCAGTTCTATAATAATAATACAATAATATATAGTTCATAAAAATGAATTGATCACTATTGTCATCGTGAATATGGTGACGAAATATCCTGTTTCATTGCATCATATTAATCATAAAACTTAAAATGTCTATTTATGTGAATATAAGTATTCCGTCTTTTTTAAAACGATATTCTACAAATTTCTCAGCTATTTCTTCTTCACATTTTGAGTTTCTGCTTACTATCCAAGCTTTTGTAATCCTAAAGTAGGCAAACAATAGTGAAGCATCGCTTCAGAAGTTACTGCACACAATCTAATATCATTCAATTGTCATAGCTAATTTCAACTTGAATACTTTATGAAACAAATGCTAACTTATAAACCAATTATATTTTATCTTCTAGTTCTACAGATGAAAACTTAACTTTTCTATTGATCGATTGAAATCATGCAAACGATGGCCTTTTCTTAATTTGAAAATATTCTTCACGATATAATACTTCACGTGTCTTCCTTTCCCTGAAATAATTTTTTTTGTTGTAAAACTGCTAAGATAATTTTCAGACTAAATTAGATCAAAATCTTTTTTTCTGTTGTTGTCTTTTTGTTTATTTGTGTTTGTTGGTAACAAAATAAAGAGAAGAGTAAAGGAGAGATAAGAAAACAAAAGTTCTTCATTTGTTATTAGTTATTAGGTAGCTTTGTTTGTTTTATACTTTGTTATTGTTGTTATTATCAAAGTTTCTCCTTATTTTCCATCTCTCGATTTTGTAGTCTTTCTACTGTCATCACCCCTTTCTGTGTCATCTTATTCATTTATTAGTTTTTAGTTTATTCTGTATACCATGTTATGTTTTACGAATAAACATTTCCTTTGTAAGCAAGATAAAACTCAAAATTTCTCTTTTCACCTTATAAAACCTAGAAAGAATAAAATATCAAAAAAGGGATAAGATGAAACTATAAGCAAAACATTGTCGTTTTTATTTTGCATAATGTTAGATTAGTCCCTTTCCTTATATATGATTTAATCTATCTATCTATTTACATATGTTGTATATACTTTCTTTATGTATGTTAACAATGAAACGCATTAATTAACCGAAAAAATGTAGTGGAATCATTTGATGTAAAACGGAATAATTATTGGAGTTTTAATGTTAAATTGTTCAGATAGGTAATTACAAGTTTTTCCTCTTCGAAACTAACTTGTATATATAGTAATTTACATATATTACACAGTTATTTCAATATATATGTGTGAATGACTTTGTAGTTGTACTGTTCCATAGACAATATCTATCTATCTACCTATATATATATATATATATATATATACCTTGTCGAAAGTAGAATACTTTTGTTACAGTTGAAACGAAATAGGAATTCAATGCATATATGCAATACTTTAAACTAGAACAAATACAATAAAAAAACATACAAGTTTATAAATTTATAAAAAACGATATCATTAAATTATCGTAGGTAATACGTGGAAACTATAATGAAACTACTTAAAGAGAAATGAATATTAAAATATTCATTATTTATGGTATTTTATTTAGAACGTTCATAATAGCATAAATTCACTTTTTGCATACAAGTCCCTAAAGCATGTTACATAATAGAAATAATGGATTCTAAAGTGTAAAACTTTTGAAAAGTCAATTGTTGCTAAGCTTTTTACTATGAAAAAATTTCTCTCTTGTAATAAATTTAAAAAGCATAACGTTTACAATTGATTGATAACTGAGTGGTGACCGTTGCCATGTATGTCAGGTTCTTGTTAGTGCAGATCGAATCCTGCAGACCAAGTTGCAATGTGGCCACTAGTTTAGGCGACTCGAAAATGAGTGTACTACGTTGAGATAAGATGGTGGTTGGAGATAGTCAATAGGAAACCCTGGACCTCAGTCTCAGCCCGGATAGCTCAGTGGTAACGTCTCTGACTGTGAAGCTGGGTAACAGAGGATCGAGTTCATCGGGGAGCATCAGTTCCCTCAAAATTACCGGTACACCTTGCTGACGAGTGCCAAATAGCGCAAAACCCAGGTCCAGGGTTTTCTATTGACTACTTTCGACCACCATCTTAAAATAGCATTTATTCTACTTTAATCTTAATCTCATAGTTCAATTCTTGTCTTCTTCCAATTGATCATTTAACTTTACATTTGCAATACTTTTAATATCATAAAAAATCGTTAGTTTTATGCGCATTTTTTAAATATCAAATCTCATAAATCTTTAATAAGAATATTTATTTGCAGAATTTTTTTTGTTGTGTTTCTACTACATCAGAATGAAAAAGTCCTATACTTACATATATTTATACACTATGATCTAATATTTGGTTAACACTGTATAGAATGTTATGTAACACTTATATTGATTTATGATAACATGAAATCATTTAAATATTGAAGATATATTTATTTACTTTTTATTTTATTTTTCTTATTTATTTCACCTTTCATTTCTAATAATTTTCTTTTGATATTTGTACACTTTAAAGAGATTCCAT